CACACACACACACACACACACACACACACACATTTTGTAGAAGCACAATTCATTCTGCTATTCAAGAACTGTTGGTCTACCCCTCAGCATTGGCTAATGCAGGATGACTTTAACACCAGTCACATCATAAAGAAATTCTCATTATTAGTTCTGATTTTAATTTCCCTAACCTTTTCTAAGTTTCATAGGATGAACTAGAGTACTGAAATAAAGAGAATTGAAACTTGATGATTAAGAATTATATTGCACAGGAGAAGAAAAAGAACTATTAAAATTGAAACCAGGTTAAAACAAAAGTATAATTATATCGACATAATAAAAGAAATGTGTTTTTTTATTGGCTGCCCAATACCTATGACAGGTGAGCTGTGTATTTCACATGACTTAATTAAAAACTTGTTATCACAGCTACACCACCATCATTCAGAAGCCTCCAACACATTTCCTCTTAGCTTTAGAAGTGACTTTGCTCAAAGATAGTTTGAATACAGTAGAGAAAGAAAGTAAATGAAACTTTTATCTTGAAACAAAAGTTTCATTTTTTTTCCCTGTGAGAAAAAAAAATGTTAATGTTCTCTAATTTGAAAGGATGTTCTCTAAAGTAAAGATATACATCCCATGCATATGGTAACATCTGATCATTTTTATGCATCTTTTAGGGTTTATGTGATATGTCAAGAAAGAGGTTGGAAATTTGCTGCACTGATTATTAGTTCTAATAATAAATATGACTCTCTGCTTAAAGTGATAAAAAGTGAATAAATCTCTCCTGGTAGCAACATCCAAAGACAAAGTTGTGTTGAACATGGCTTAGAATCTGATCTCTCTGATTGGGAACATATCCAAACATGTTCAACACTTCTCTGAGGCAGCTGGGAGAAGATGGCTTTGAAATGACATGTGAAGTTCATGTTAAAAACTTGCAATTGAGACTCATTTCAATGTGGTGACCAAAATAACTTCCTAAAGCATATGTTCAGGTATTCTTCTTAAGTCTAAACTACACCTATCTGATGATAGAATACATATTGTTTAAAAAAACACAAAAATATCTTTACATACAATATATTTAAAAGTTCTTGGATGACTTGCTGGATCTGTGAAACTGCAATGAATCACTTTTTTAGGAAAGATCCCCTCCATGGTTTTCTATTGTCATGTATTTATTCTTTTCACTTTCTCTTTTATTTTATCCAGTAAAATCAGGAATATGGATAGAAGCACAGAGAAAATGTAATCATGAAAAATGGACAGAGCAATGCAAGGAAGAAAGTAGAAGATAGATTTTTGTAAATCAAAACTCTTCTACATATACAAGACTAAAAAATAGTAAGTTCTGTCTGATTTGATTTTCCTGATTTTTTCCACTACGAAGGGTACATAGTTCAGATGAAATAGGAATAAAATAATTTTAAAAATCTTTCTTTCTTTTAACTTTTAAGAGGTACTTATGTGCCATCTGTTTATTGATCTTGCAGTCAATTCTTAGTCACCAGCATGGAGATTCTGTTCAGCAAATGGGATTGCTGAATGCCATCCCTCTCAACACCCACACTTGTTTACTGCTTCATAACCTCCATGTTCCAACAGTTGGTGGAAGAGAGAAAAACACACACGAAAGGAAAAAAAGAAAGACAGCTTGCTTCAGTGGAAAGAGTACCAGATCTGGGAAGCACAGACCTCTATCCTGCAATATACTGGAGGAGGCTTATATGGGCTCAGAGAGTAGGTTTGTAAAATATTTAGGAATTTTTTGAGCCAGCTGTTAAACCCAAGCATTATTAACAAACAATACACATTTAAATATAAACAATTCCTTTAAAAACAGGTACTAAATATTTAAAATCAACCTCTTCCTATTTATTTTACCACATTCAATTTATTTATGCTTTTGAGGTTATTGGTTCCTATTTCATCTGTATGCTGAAAAGGCTAGCTTAAAAGTATACTTGAAATTGACCAATGTGGAAGTATTTACATCAAAGAAGTTGGAACATGCTACAGATCAGGATGTGACAGGTCCATTGATTGTCTAGACTTAAGAAAGTGATGAAGAAATATTTTTTTCAGAATACAATTTAAACCTCAAAGTGTCAAGTGTATCCAAACACTGCATTGTCAACAACACAAAAGAAATTGAAGTAATTTTCCAGTATTTGGAAACTATTATCCAATTCAGAAAAATATCTGTTCATGTCATTCATGAAATTCCAATATATCTTCCTTGTTTTACTTTCCCTTCTTCTTAAAACAAATGCAAATATTAACCAGCATTCATATCATCACTACAGAACCAAGAGTTTATCAAATTTAATAAAAGGATTCTGCCAGATGTAATGAGTCAGGCAGAATTTACATAAAAGTATTACATATTTTATTAGTAGTATGCTTATAAATGGAGGCCTACATATTCTCTATATACATATTACCATATATGACATAATAATGTGAAATAAACACTCATGTTTTGTTTTATTTAAGACACAGCTGTTAAATAATTGTTATCACCACACTGTATCTACCATCCCAAAACTATCAATGTTGAAAAAAAATTATTTAACTCTATGAATATCAACTTCCTCATCTGCAAATCTGTGAGATGGGTACCTTTCTCAGAGAACAAATTTAGGAGGCAAAAGAAATATTTATGCCAAAATTATGTATAGATTGCCAATAATAAGTAATATCATAAGTTCAGCAAATATATTTCTGTTCCTAATATAAACACTAATAATTAGCAATTTGCAAAAATGAATAATGTCATATTCCCTACCATCAAGTTGCTTACAATCTAGTGATAAGAGGTAACAATTTAATAACTTGAGATAATTGAAAAGGAGATAAAATGTGTCCAAGAAAAAAAGCAAATGGCTGAGGCAAAGTGGTTTCACCTGGTGTAAGAAGGAAGACTCCAAAGAGAAATGGAATTTTCAGATAAGTTTTGAGAATGAATTGCATTGTATCAGGGAAAAAGGGGTACATGGGAAATGGAGGCATTTTGAACTGATGGATGATACCTCAAACTGTTATCATAAATATTACAGTGCCAATTAAGAAAATCATAATTGTATTGATGAATCTGCTGCATAAATAACCATATGTAATTTCCACATAAAATAGAAATTATGCCATTATGGATTATAAAATTCAGTGTGTTTATCTACAATCTTATAGAATCAAGTGTTGACTAAATATTCAGCTTTCCAACTCACAAGTCATATCATTTTCTAAAAACCAAAGTACAAATTGTCCCTTGGCCATTTTCCTTAGTGAAAAAAAAAAGCATACATGTTTGAGTGAATTTTAAAATTATTTTTTTAAAAATATTCTATAAAATATGTTCTGCATAAGTTTTGGCAGGACAGAAAGGATTGTCCAAAGACTTAAGACCCAACGGGTTGCAAACCAATGAATATATAAATAATGCATGCATTATGTAAACAATAAGTACATCTAAAATGAGGTTTTTATGGAACACTGAAGCAAACAGAAAGTGAAAACATGTTAAAATTTTCAGGGAACAAGACTAACTACTAAACAGAATTATTTCATCTTTCAGTTAATGAGTTTTGCAAGAGTTGACATTACTCAGTAAAGTTCATTGAAAGCTTTTTCCGGCTGCTTGTCAAAATATGCTAGTTACACCTTTGTGGTTTGTGACAAATACAAAGCTTAGAAGAAAGAGTGGAGGTGCACCTACAGGATCTGTGATAAGTGCAGTGAAAGGGAGATGTCTATTAATCGCTCACACACCAAAGTCTGACACAAAAGGTACACGGCCTTGACCTCGAGTGATCATGGAAGAGACGGCAGGGTCAGTCTAGTTTCCAAAGGGATTAAGAATACTTGCTCCAAATCAAACTGTCTTTTTCTCGGCACTCTGTTTTCCAACTCCCCATTCCACGCACTTCCTCCGCAAGGCACTGGGCCAAAATAAAAAGCCAGTTTAGTCTGTTCTCTCCACGATGACAGCTGTCAGTCTTTCGCTAATCTAAAGCGGAATTGAAAGGGCAGGGCTGGAACTACTCTGTTTGAAAGCACATAGCTAGATTTGCTGAAGGTTAGACCACCTCGCTCTTAACTAAGAGAATTGAGGCTGCTGCTGTCTCCTCTGAACCTGTGTATTCCCAACGCACCTCCTAATTAAGCAAAGTTCCTGGAAATCATCCCAAGAAGAGCCCACAAGCCCCTGTGTAACTTCAGCGGGAATGCGGAGGGTGCAAAAGCCAGGTGTCCGAACAAGGGGCGGGGAAAACGCTCACTCCTGGAGCGCCCGGCAGCAGCCCCTGGACCGCGTGGCGACGCCCGGCAGGGGCGCAGTGAACCCTAGCGCTTGGGACCCGAAGTGAGACCGCGCCCTCCCGTGGGCAGGGAAGACCCTGTGAGAGCCCGAGCCTGGAGGGCAGCGTGAGCCCAGAGAAGAGGCAAGGAGGGTTGGGCAAGCAGGGGCGCCCGGTTCGCCGTCCCGCCACTTGTCCCGAACTGTGGATCCGCGGAGAGAGCCCCGAATGACCGGTTTCCGAGCAGCGGCCACTCGCGGGCAGAGACCAGTACCAGGGCGGGGGCGCGCGGGACACTCACCAGCTGCAGAGCGCAAAGGCAAATGAGCGAGCATCGCCCGGTGCAGCAGCCCATGGTGCCTGCGGCTTCCGAGCTGCACCGGCGGCGAGAGATCCACGTACTCCGGCGCCGCGGCTTCCTGACTCCAGAGCAGCGCCCCTTCTAGCGCTCGCTTGGCCCGGCCCAGGCACGCCGGCCCCGCGGCCACCGCTCGCCGCTCCCGGGCTCAGGGCTCGCGCCTGTCTTTGTTAGTTTCCTGGCGGGGCGGGCCGAGGTCAGTGAGGCGCGCACGACCCGCGCGTCTGGCGGGGGTCCCTGCCTCCCACTGTGTAGGTCTGCTTCTTGGGTAGGGGGAGCTGGCTAAGCGGGCGGGGCGGGGGGCGGAAGGAGGCTACAGATGGTGAGTGGGTGAATGTCTCTTTAGGGGAGGGGAGTATGTAGGAGGTGGGCGTCTGGAAAGTGCAGTGGGCTGTCTGGGTCGGAGTGTGTGTGTGTGTGTGTGTGTGTGTGTGTGTGTGTGTGTGTGTGTGTGTGTTGTGTGTGTGTGTGTG